CATTAGCACCTCTAGTAATATATTTACTGAGAAAAATGGTGACGTGTTCAATACTTATTTTACCTGCTGTATTCAGCCACTCATTCCTTCGTGTCACCGTCTGTTGTAGCAGAGCAGCAGGGCTCTTCAGGAACATGTCTCAGGTCTCTGGTTTCTAGTAAGTTCCTGTCAAGAATTTATTTATTTATTTTTGCTCAATTTATTGTTCCATTACTTCTGATCAGGTTCCCAGTTCCTGCTGTGTATAAACATCCCCACATCATGATGCTGCCACCTCCATGCATCACTGTAGAAATGATGTTCTCCTGATGCTAGAGCAAACCCAGTAACTGTGGCTCTGAGCAGAGTTCTGAGTTCATTGGTTTTTATGACGTCTTTTGCTTAGTGTTAGTACTTAGAGCTTTTGGGCTGGTGATGATTCTAGTTGTTACAACAGGTGTGTTTCCTCTCAGGTGGATCGTATTGAATGTGACTTCTGTAGGAACCCTATAGGTTTAAGGTTTAATACACAAATGAACACCTTTTCTGTTTTCTATATAATTTCTTGTTTTAAAACTAAAGTTGAAGTATTTTTATAGAATATTATTTAACAAAATCAATAAAATTGTCATCTGTAAGGCAGCAAAATGGAGATATTACAGAGATGAATAATTCTGCGACACACTATATTAAAAGTGATCAAATGGCTGAATAATGAAACAATCTGTGCAATAGGGCTGTGTATTGGCAAGAATTTGGCGATACGATACATATCATGACAGAGGGGTTACGATACGATATATCCCGACATATTGTGATACTGTAAGCAAGGCGGTATATCGCGATTTTTTTTTTGCCCAAAAATTCTATTAAATAAAAACTTCTTACTGGAAAAAAAAATGAAAAAAGAGTTTTATGTCACGGGGGGAGTGCCGAGCTCGAGACACTAGACGCATGCGCTATATGTGCATGCCTGCCTGCCTGCCTTCCGTAACGTTGGAAAAAAGAGCGCACAAGTAGGGTTGGGCATAATCGTATCGTGTGCAATTAATCGTCAGAAAAACATTAATCGATTATTTTTTTGCACTTGACAATTAATACGATTAATGTCACCAGGCAGACTGACTAGATATTTCCCTGGTCAGTCCACTCAGTGCTCCTCTCTGTTTCAAATATAACGAACATAAAAAAATAAATTCTGAAATTTATTTATCTAGCAACACAATTTAAAATTTGTTGTATAGCCCAAATGTATAGCCTGTCTGTAATTTTGAAAGTTTGGAACAGACTTTTATGAAGAGCAAATCTTTCCAACTAAATTAGTCATGTGATCTGGACATAAGGGTGTCCAGGGACTCCAGGGGATTAATCATCAAATTAATCATTATCGGCTAAATACCACAACTGATTGTGATTAATTTTTTTGCCAATATCGCCCAACCCTACGCACAAGACACTTAATTTGGCTTAAAATACAGACATTCTGACAAATAAGTAACTGTTCGTAACCTTACCTCAGCTTAGAAGGCAGAGGGTGTCGGTCTTTTCCTCTCAGATTCAGCTATCGGAGCATGAAGCTAATGTTTTCTCACAATGCTAATGCTCTCTTACTCTCTGGCGCCCAAGAGCTAGAAGAACCAAATGGCTGGCTCACTGCTGCCAACTAGTGGTCAGAGGCTGAACTACAACATAAAAATGAACGGCTGGCAGGAAAGTTGACGTTTTAAACTTTAATAAAAAATCTATACAGGGCTTTAGAATATCAATACAGTATCGGGAAATGAAATATCGCGATATTTCATTGTATCGATATTTTCTTACACCCCTACTGTGCAACTCTTATTCCTGCAGGAACAGCACAGAGAAAATCATCCATCAGCGCACCAACACCGTTCCGTTTGCCCTTGGGTCTCATGATGATGACATCACCACGGCAGTGCGAGTCATCCGTCCGTTAGATGCTGCAGAGTTGGACCTGGAGACCACCTACGAGAACTTCCACCCCACAGTCCAGTCGTTATCCAACGTCATCGGCCACTTCATCAGCGGCGAGCGACCCAAGGGCATCCACGAGACTGAGGAGATGCTGCGAGTGGGCGACAGCCTCACCGGAGTGGGAGAGCTGGTCCTGGACAACAACCTCATCAAGCTCCAACCGCCCAAACAAGGTTTCTGCTACTTCCTCAGCCGGCAGGACTACGAGTCTCTACTGAAAAAGCAGGAAAACGGCGTCAGGCTGTGGAGGATCTTGGCCCTGGTGTTCGGGCTGGCCGCCTGCTCCACGCTGCTCTTCATGATGTGGAGGCGCTACGTGCACTGCAGACAGAGCAAGAAGAGGAGGAGCATGATGGAGGAGTTCAAGGAGCGGCAGAGGAAGCGGCTGCGGGAGCTGAACCTGGAGGAAAGCAGCGTGTCGCCCACCAGCTGCACGGTGTGTCTGAGCCGCGAGCGCTCCTGTGTGTTTCTGGAGTGTGGTCACGTGTGTGCCTGCGCCCACTGCTACCAGGCCCTGCCCGAGCCCAAGACCTGTCCCATCTGCAGGGCCACCATCGACAGGGTGGTGCCTCTGTACAACAGTTAACTCAGAGCTGAGCAGCTTCACCAAGCCTCACATCCMTCAGAGGACTCCTGACTCTGCAGACAGGCTGAGAGCTGTCAGTGCTGCATCCCAAACTCATTCATATCCATTCAGGAGGTTTRCTGTCATGCTGAGAGAAAATGAGATGTCTGTTCTCAGGCTTACAGTTATTGATTCAGTGCAAATACTGGCCCAAGTCCAGACAATTAGTCTGAAGAGTTGGGAGCTTTTTAAGGACAGGAGATGTAGAGCTTCAGTTACAGGAAGTAGGTTCAAAGTTTAATTAAGTTTCACATTTCAGAAATATAT